CGGACCATCCTTTGTGTCATATCTCAGGACTCTATCCGTAAAGTAGCTAGCTACTATTTTACGCAGGTATCCTGGCACGTTCTTCTCTTGAAGAGCTTGCATAATGCAGTCCCAGTTAGCAGAGTTGAAGGCGTTTCTGATGTCTAACGTCACCACCACGGCAGTACTTCTTCGTACCACCCTTCCATCTGGTTCCTGCAATTGCCTCCTGGGCCGTAGTAACAACCAGGTTGATCGCGTCCAGGGTTGATCGTCCTTTTCGGAATCCATACTGGTTTTTCGCCAGAAGTAGATCCACAACTGCTTCTATTCTTTGATGAATTATGCGTTCGAATATCTTACCGGCTGTATCCAGCATGCAAAGTGGGCGGTAGGATGACGGCTCTTCTGGTGGCTTCTTTCCTTTAGGGAGTAGAACCAGTCGTTGTTGTTTCCATTTCCGAGGAAATGTCTCTTCCTTGAGGCACGTGTTGTAAACTTTCAAGAATAACGTTGGTGCTGCCTTTATGGCTGTTTTCAAGGCAATATTAGGAATTCCGTCTAGTCCCGGCGCTTTGTTGTTCCCGACGCGGTTACAAGCCACCATTAGTTCTTCTTCCGTGACAGATGGAATGTCTTCAGGGTTTAGCTGCCTTAACTGACCGGTGAATACCGGTTGTTGAGGAAACAGCGCAGTAACAATCCTCTCTAGGAGCCGCGGACACGTAGGCGACGGCATTGGCTGGTATTTCAGGTAGGCCGTGACCACCTTGTACGGTTTGCCCCATGGGTCCTTCTCCACTTCTTCGACGAGTTCTTTCCAACAACGTCTTTCACTATCCTTGATGGCTTTGTTCAGTTCCCGACGGGCCTTTTTATACTCTGCCACCAGTTCTGCAAAGTTAGGTCGACGGAAGCCACGCTGTGATATTCTTCTTTTCCTGAGACATTCTCTACGAAGAGCGCTGATGTGATCGTTCCACCAGTGCACTCCGGGTCTTCTATTTATGCCTCGTTTTCGTGGCATACTGGCGTCACAAGCTTCGGTCACTCTTTCCATAAGTTCTTTAGTCTGATCTTCTGCGCATCCAGCGGTGATCGGGCCGTTATCCAAAGCAGTCGTCAGCGTACTCGCGTCGAAAGATTTTACTCTCCACCGAATGTGGTTAGGTAACCTATTAGTTCCTCTAGTATCCTGGTCATTTGATATTTCCCAGAGAATCGCGTTGTGGTCACTGGCAGTGTAGATATCCAGCACCTTCCAGTTGAGGTTACTTCTTGCGAGGCTGCTACTGACGAACGTGAGGTCTACGATGGAACTTGCGTTTCCTTTGGTGTAGGTTGGTGTGTCACCACTGTTGTGTGTGTGTGTGTGTGTGTGTGTGTGTGTGTGTGTGTGTGTGTTCGGCGTCGTTCAAAAGGGCTTGACCAAACAGATTTTGAATATAATTTGGATTGATTCTGACTGGTATATTTTTTTATCTCACAAAAATTACGAAAAAAAATTTTTTCAAATAAGGTTTTTTTGGAATAATTCTTTAACGGCTTAACCGATCAATTTCAAAAACTAATCAGCTATTAACATAAAAAAAACCACGTCGATCGCTGTCAGCCTGGCCAAAATCAGTTGATTCGTTCGTGAGTTATCGTAAACAAAAAAATCGAAAAAAATTTTTTTTCGGAATTACTTTGAAATTCCTTGTTTGATCAATTCAAACTTAAAGGTTCTTTATGAGGCTTCAAAAACTGCGTCGAATGCTGCCAACTGCGTGAAAATCGGTTGATTCATTCAAAAGTTATTGCGGTTTGAATAATTAAAAAAATAGTGCTTTATTAAACTTCTAGCAGACTTTTGAGCTCGGAGAGCTCAAAATGATACGACAATTAGATTTTTGAGCTCTTTGAGCTCAAAAACGTAATAAGTGCACGGAGAGAATTTAATGGTAGGGGAGTGTGGGGTCCCCCCGGTCACCTAAGAAGTGAATTTAAAAAAATATTAAAATTATCATTTTGGAATAATAAAAAAGACTTTATTCAATTCTTTGACATCTGAAGAACTAAATGCAATTACTAAAAAATATAAGTATGAAGATAAATAAAAATATTTGAGGAATTATAGAAATAATGAGTTTGACCGGGGCGACCCAACGTGTTGGGTCACCCCGGTCATTAGGCAGGTCGCTCCGGTCAGTATTAATTTTATTTTAAAAATTAGAAATTCCGAATTATATTGTTAAAATTTAATAAAAATTTAAAATTAATTTTTTTAATTGAAACTTTAGCAGCAAATAACATTAAATATGGGTAATTTTGAACATTTAAATTTTCTGTTTTTTAACTAATTTGCGTTTTTTAGGCCATACTTGATATTTATCCGTCGCACGAGTGGAAGTTATTCGTTTCCTTGAATTCTTTCTAGGTTCTTCTGCTGACTTACTTGTTTGGAGTTCTTCATTAACATTATCGGACAATTTAACTGGCTTCTTTTGTGATTTTTTTTTTAATTAATTACAAAATAGTGGTTAGCTTTAATTAAACACACGAGCTGTCAAACAATAAACAATTGAATAAACTGACCGGTGTTACCCCACAGCTTTGACCGGTATGACCCCAACCGATAGTTGAGAAAATAAACTTTATTCAAAAGAAAACGATTAATAATTACAGTATAATAAAAATTCCCACTTATAAAGGAAGATTTATAGATTATATACATAAAAATTATAAATTTTTATCTTGCTGTAAACTATATTAAAAGCCTTACGGAAATAATTCCGATTCTTAGATCAAATGGGAATCAATTTTTCAATTTTTAATTATTACTAATAAATACTATATTTCTAAGTTTTGAATCTATTTTTTACTCTCAGCTGAATAAGCGTACAAAATAAAACAAAATTCAAAATTTAAGGTATAGTAGATTTTTTTAAATGTTGGTGACCGGGGCGACCCCAAGCTCCCCTAAATACAACTATCCGAGTATTGTAAAAACAGGCTTCTTAGTATGAATGATTGCAAGAACTATCCAAATTGTTAACTGAACCATCCAGATAGTTACATTTACCATCTGGATAATAATTATTACTATCTGGCTGGTAACTTAAAGATGGTAAACTTAATCATAATATATGTTAACCGCTAAAATCATGTGGATTGTAAATTTTACGATCATGATGGTCTCGATGAGTGTAATGTCGGGATGAGCTTATATCTTTAAGAATGTCAATAGTTAACAAGATAAAAGGTCATTTCTTAATTATGTGTCTAGAAATGGAGCATTTTCGAATGCAGCCTAAATACTTATGATGATAAATTGACTATCGATGAGAATGATATGAAACCTTGAAAAAGCGGAAATTCAAGCCAAGATCTTGGCAATGACACTAAATTTCACTATAAAAACCGATTTTATCATATGACTGTCCTGGAGACAAAATTTTTGTTATTCTCTTAATAATATAGATATACTTTTTTCAATACTCACTCTTATGTCAAACATTAGAATGTTATTATATTCTGACTCTAAAATCGAAAAAGTTTAGTTTTTTATACTTCCTGTTTATTTTTTTTATGATTGCAATCATGATGATTTTAACTATCGCCGATAATAAAAGTTACCATCTAGATAATAAACCGTATGATCATAATTGTGAGAGTTAATATATTTTGATTGTACTAATTACAATCGCCGGATAGTTGCATTTATCATCTTAACTTTGTAAAAATTAATAACCATCTTGGATAGTAGAAGCTACAAAATAGGGATGGTTACTGTTAAAGAACAAGAGCTGGAGAGTCAGGTTTTAGGTTATTTTATTGATACTTATTATAACACAAGTTTAGGTTAGTTAACACAAACGATTAATTGATCAAAGTTTCTTTTTATATTCAATGAAAGTCATTCAGGTAGTTAGAACTTTTGTTAGACACCGTAGACTCCAAGGAGAAGAGATGCTAACTTTATTAACGAAGAATAAACTTCTAGAAGGTGTTCAAGGGAGCCTGCAGGTGCACCTTACAAGGTGATGACCAGCCGGGCCTTGGGTACGATGATTTTCTCAGAGGTGTACCACAAGGAAGCTTGTAGGTCACCTAACAGGGTGAAAGGAAGTACCGAGCCTTGAACACGATGATTTTCTGGTCTAGAAGTCACCAAAGATGATTATTTCTCGACTAGGTTATAAAAATACCGTTTACGATGATTTTCTCACACTCAGAGTAATAATATTTTGCTTGTAGATAAGTTCGTTGCAGTGGAAGACTTTTATTTTAGCTTGATATCACGATGTGAATAGTAAGCATTTGAATTGAAGACTGACTCGCAGCGCCAGACGGACTAGCTTATATACTTGACTGGCGGGATTCTCGAATTTTCAGCTGGAATTCTCTCGATTGAGTTCGAGAGAATTCTTTTATATAAATTCACTTTCCAGATTGTTAAAATGAATAATTTTGATACAAATATAAATTTTTACTTAATTTTAACTCTTTTGATTATTAATTAATCGATTTTTAATTAATATTTAGCCAAAATTAAGAATTTTGATCCAGACTTTTCTTTTACCAGATGTTTCTAGGCGCAGACGCGAGTAAGGCGCAGGCGCGAGCTAAGCGCAGGCGCGAGCTAGGCGCGAGCTAGGCGCGAGCTAAGCGAAAGTACCTGTGATGTTGTTTAGAGTACTCATAATGATCAATAGGTGGCGCCACATATTTTATTTATTATTATTTAATAATTTTGAATTATTACCAGCAATTTCGAATCATATCTTTATTTTATTCTATTTTAAACAGTTACCGTTAACATAAAATTCTCTCCGTGTGCAATTTTGAACGCCTAAGTATGGAATTAGCGGGAAGTTGCAGGGATGACCTTTAGGGTCAACCATTTTCCTGATTTTTTTCTGTTAGTTTTAACATGGAATAAAACATAAAACAATGAGATCGAATCATCTGAAAAATATGGATTTTCATTATCTTTCAAGTTTTCTGAGCTTGAAATATAACATACATACATTTTGAACTTAAAAATCTAAGAACTGTTTCATATCAACACTTTTTTCAGTATCCCATGTAGGAACTGCCAGAGTTGAATGACGAGGCCTTGCCTGGTCCAGTACTGGGCAACCAAACTTGGTGCACCAATATTGGGCCACGACTGGGTAATTAGCCTTGGCCAACGCAATGATTATCCGAGCCTGGGCCAAGACTGGTTCGCCATAGAATGGCCGAGGCAAGAGAACCCAGCCTTGGGCCAAAACTGGGCAACCAGGCCTTGGCCGATCCAATGATTACCCGAGCTTGGGCCAGAACTGGGTCCCCTAGCCACGGCCATTCAATACCGATCCAGAGTTTGTCCAAGCCATGCCATGGCCGTTGAATGACAACCTAGACTTGAGCCAGAATTGGGTAACCTAGCTTGGCCATTCAATGGGAAATTCAAACTTAATTGATCATTAAGTAATAGAATTATAAACAGCAAATATTTATTATTTAACGAATATTTGTTAGCAAATGCTAAAATCGAAAATGTATTACTTAACGAAAAGAATTGCATATCGTCAAAATTGATGTGGTCTTCAAAAAATAAAAATATTATAATTTACAGTTGAATTTTTAATATCGATAATTTTAAAGATTAAAATTTATAATAAAATTAAAAAAATATGTAGAAAGATGTACAAAGTCTAAAGTAACATAAGAATTTGACTCTTACATTTTTTTAACTAATAAAAATTTGTAGAAAATAGTTAATTTTCATCAAAACACAATATCAAATAACATAAATAAATAAATAATAAACCGTCACACTTCGTCACCATATAGATTTAGCTGATAAGAATAATGAGATATACAACAACTTATCGATCGTACGGTGTAGAGGTTACCTTGATAGCCAAACCGGTCGCAACTTTCCGTTGATTTACTGCCGCAACTTGTCACCAAGTTGGCGGCAAGTCTTGGAAATGAACTCGGTTGTTCACCAAGTTGTCACCAAGTTGTCGGCAAAAATTGCTTTCGAAACTCTTTCGCACCAAGTTGACGACAAGTTTCTCAAGAAATTTGGCGACATATTGCGGCCGTAGATGGGTCTTGTTTTTCTCAGAAACTTGTAGCCAACTTGACGCCAACAGTTACAAATTCGGAAGTTGACCGCAAGTTGTCGGTAAGTTGGTGGCAACTATCTGACACCAACTTGCTTGGTCTGAAACTGTGGCTATCAGAGTAGTTATCGTGCTAGCAAGCGCGCGGCTAAGGTTCGAGTCTCGGTTAGAACGAATGTAATTTTTACTTTATTTCTATAATTAGCGAAAGTTAGGTCTAAAAAAAAATCAAACGGTCTAAACTTGCGTTAGCTCTACATCAAAATTAAGATAAAAAAGTGACACTTAAAAAATTTTTTTTTTATCATTTTATATCAAATGGCATGGGTCAGATTTGAAAATTAACTATGGTCCAGCTCTGGTAACCAAGCATGGCCCAGACTTGAAAATTAACTGTGGCCCAATCTTGGTGACCAGGCATGGGCAAGTCCTGTTAACCATGCATTAATATAGTTTTTACCATACATTTTAAATCAAAACCAAAAATTATACGAAGAGTAATATTTATTATCTACGTCCTTAACTAATATAAAGGAAGGGCGGGCAAAACGGGGCTCACTTTTACATGTAAAAGAGTACCTCGTTTTACCCACCCTTCCCCTATATTAAATGAAAATCATTCACTAATCGATCTTAATTATTATCAAGTAACAGTATTCCGAACAGTAAATATTTGTTCATATTTATCGTGATAATCAATATGTTCTAAAAAAAAATTTTAATAGAATAACTGAAAACTTAATTTTCAATATTTATAATTTTTTCTCATAATTTTAAACTTTAAAATTCATAGTATGATAAGTGAGCAGATCCAATTCTAATTTACAAGCCTGGGCCAGAGTTATACAACGTTAGGCCAAGCCTGACCCCATCATAATCTTCTCTCTGGGAGGGATAGAGTAATTAATAATAATGAAAGAGTCCTGTGTATGACCCAAGTGTACGTGGCCATCAAACAGAGCTAGGACTTACTTTTCCCGTTTGAGAATACTTCAACCAAATGTTAAGTTTTTGAGCTTGAAAATCTAAGGATAAAGTTAAATAATAAAGGAAAAAATTATAAACTAAAATCCATTGTTGATCAGAGAATTCAACACTTTTTCGACTAACTCACCGACGAAAAATGTATTTTCTTGTTACTTTCCTCTTGAAGCTGAATGATATTTTATTTTCAATTAGTTTTATAAACTAAGAATATTATGATTTGATTTCAGGCACAACTAGGAAAAGAAAATCAGCCTGAAGCTTACATCGTTATGTATTCTGTGATCGATAAGGTTTCTTTTCAACAAGCAGAAGAGCTATTATCAAAACTTCATGATCAAAATGTGATGAGAGCCCGACCTGCTATTTTAGTCGGCAATAAGATTGACCTTGTGCGATCTAGAGTGATTAATTTTCAAGGTATGCTTTGATTTTGAGTTATACATAACTTAAAATCAATTTTTTGTCTTCGACTTGTGAATAAGATTATCTATGATTATACTTAATTGAAATTTTCGACTGAACTGTTTTTTCAGAACTACTGTACTAATTCTTTTCTGAATTTTACAAAAAACTGTTATCCATAAAACTAGAACTAAAAACTAAAAACTAAATACCACTCTCGAGATTATCATGAAAATGTATTTTTATATATACATATATATTAGGGTGTCCGTTATTTACCAATTGGGTTTTTGACTTTGCAGCACCCCTAAAATTTTTATTTAATGACCTTGTAACGGGTACTTTTTGACTACTTTTTACCCCCGGCTTGGTTTAAGCTCGCCAGAGTCCAGGATTCTAACGAGGGTAATTTCTAAATTAATTAAACTCGAAATTTAATTAATAAGTAACAAAAACAGAACCTCTTTATTTCAATAAACAAAACATTAAACATTTTACAAAAGAAAACGGCGAATAATCAAATTAAACCCACTCATACACGTCGTATACTATTATCGTTACTATCGTCGGTAATATCATACTCCCGTCATATTTCTCAAAACGCGTCGCTACTTCCCCTTCCGTCGGCCCTCTGGTGCCCGATTCCTGACGGGTGAATAGTGCCGCCCATACTTCGCGATACCCAAAGGGAGAGTGAATAAAATCCACCTCTCCCCCACCTACTCGGCTGTGGTTGCCACCTTTCGGCTGAAGGCCTCCAGGTGGAGAGTCGCCTTTGACTCGTGGGAGACAAGTTCACTTACCTGTGGTAGTCCGCACCAGGTAGAGTGGACCCTCCTCTAATTTCTCGGCCAGAAGTCTCTAGACGAGAAATTAAACCCAGAGAAAGGTTGCTCAATGGCGGATAATTTTCGGGCTTTATCAACCCGAAAATTATTACTAACAGTGAAAATTATTGGCGAATTATCGCCACCTATCGCACGCCGTCGAACTTCAAGAAATTCCCAAAAAAAATTATAAAATGCAATTAAATTAAAAATCAAATTCATCCAAACAATTCAACAGATTACATTAATTTCAATCGAAATACATTCCCATACAATTTTATCGTCGGGACTTAAAAAATAAATTTTTATACAAAATAAATAATTTTCATAAAATTATTTTCCCATACCAAATAGTCACTTTCGAATTTATTCGAAATATTTTAATCAATTATTAATTTCAGATAAAGTCAATTGCACGCCTCATAAGCGAAGCGTTGAGGTTGTGCTCTACTCTCGACATTTCAAAAAAAGCAGTTTTCTCGAAACTGAAATTGATTTTTTGTTATTTATATCGCACTTACAGGTTAATACGAGTACACTTATATCAAGTCGAATAATTTGTCAGGCAAATAAAATATATTTCAATAACAATTTTGTTGTTTAACATAATAAATAATAACATTAAACATAATCTCTTTTGGACGTCCGTGTATGAATGGGTGTATGTGGCAAGGAAATTGGTCGAAAAAATGATCGTACCGAAATAATTTTTTTTTTTATTATCTAAAGTAACACACAACGGATTTTCTTAATTAACATGAGCGTTCAATTCACTGCCGTTAAATTATTATTTATAAAAAACAAATATATGACTGTGGATTTTTGTATATCTATCTATACATTTCATTATAGTATTTTTTTTCCTCACCTTAGAGTTATGGCGCCACTAAACCATAGAAATGTTTTCTGTTTTTTATTATTTTGCTTTCTATATTTTATTTTAAAAAATGAGATTATAAGGCGTGCACTTTTGGATTTTCCAAACTTTTTAA